GGGTGTTTTGTTAAAACACAGATGGTGCGTTTAAGTTTCCTGTTATTTTGGGGAACTACAGGTAAAGTCTTGACGAGTTTGTCGCGGGTCTGGGGGAGTTTTAGCCCCCACCCTTTATTCTCTCTCCCTCCCTCCCCAGTGAAATCCAGGCTCTAGTTCTCCGACACTTCAGCAGCCGCGTTCTGCTTTGAAACGTTTCTTTAGCTACGAGCTCTCATGCTAAAGCGAGAGTTGACTCCTCCCGACACTAAAAAAACAGGAGGGGAGGGGTCAGCTGAGCTCCTGTGTAGCGGAGCACAGAGAGGGAGAGAGACGAAGTAAACAAACAAGCAGGAAAATGAAACTTATCGTCCTCATTTTTTTTTACCGACCTCAAAAAAAGTTATCGTGCAATTAATTGATTTATCGTCTATCGCAACAGGCCTAAGCAGGCGGTCAATCAGGAAGTCTGTTGTGTTGTGACTGCTCCCCCTCAGCGGAGAACAGCCGATATAAACATCATGTGACATGTTTACAACCAATCACAGATCGCCAACTGTAACCACTTAACCAATGACAGGGCTCTCAGCCCAGAAGCTACCTTTTCAAAATAAAGAGAGGTCATGCATTGCTGGAGTCTTGAAGTCTGGGCCAATAAGTCTTGTTTTTAATCACACAACTTACACACTGTTTAATAAAACCGTGCCAGGTCACCCTGATTAGTCAGCATAAATAACGTTCATATAGCTCCTCCTTTTACATCTGGAACCTGACAGATTATCACAGATTTAGTTAACCATGTATTTTGCAAAGGGAACGTAAACAAATACCTGTGGTTAACTCCGGACGTGTTCGGTACTTGCAGCAGCTGTTTTTATTCCGGTGCAGAAACATCGAGGACGTGCAGAGCATTGATTGTGCGTTGTCGTTTTTTCTGTTTAGTTTTAAATATTCCCATGCTTTTTATAATTTGTTTTTTTGGGCACTTCATTTCGGCACTCTTTACCTTCTTCTAAAGCTAAATATAGCGCTCAGCAAGATACACGCGTGACACGTCGACAGTGTTATGGTGCGTTCACACCAAACGCGACTTCAGCATCAGGAGCAGCAGGTTTACATACAAATTCTATGGTGGACGCGCTTCAAGCAACGTCGGGAAGTTCTGCGGCGCCTCAAACGCGATTAGAGCAGCGCGATTTGAACGATTTGGACGATCTGAGCGTTCGACGCGCTGAGGCGCAAATCT